ACCAATGACCGCGCCGAAGAAGCGCAAACCGCCTGCCAGAATGGCATTGACCCAATTTGATCCTTACGATCCAAGCAACCACAAAGCTGAGCTATGGGATTTTATTCGGCTGGTCAACCCCAAACAAAAAATCAATTCAAAACTCCGGGTTGACCTTGTGCGTTACCTCGCCAACGAGTACCTGTTGGAACTTAGTAAGTGCTTTCAACTGTATAGTACTTGACCCGGATTCCCTCATCTAACCATCTCCCTTGGCCCCAGAGGATCGTATTGAGCATCAGCCCCCTCCATCACCAACCTCATCCGACTCGACTCTCTCCTCAGTACAGACCTTGCTGGCAACAACATCACCCAGCCGTTTGAGGATTCCTGATGACACACCCTCTCCGCCACCAACAATAATTGCTACGACCCTTGCAAGAACCGCTCGATCACCAGCAAGAAAAGCTCGATCACCGGCAAGAAAAGCTGGCTCACCGGCAAGAAAAGCTCGCTCACCGGCAAGAAAAGCTCAATCGCCAGCAAGGACTGCACAAACGTCCTCAAGAAGTGCTCGATCGCCGGCTAGGAGACCTCGATTGAGGGCTGCTTCTGGAAGGTCTACTGCCACCAGATCACCGGCAAGAACTCTGTCGAAAACAACCAAGCGCATCACATGTAGCGTGTCTGTCTCACCATCTCCTAAACATGGTCGAACACCAAAAAGATGTTCCAAGCACCAGTCGGCCTCGCCTTCTCCCAAAGCCCCCACTCGCGGACAATCACCCCCAAGACTACCCAAGCGTAAACCCTCGCCAACCTCTCCCTCTCCCAGACGAGCTCATTCTCAAAGTCAATTACCCTCTCCCCGGGCTCAAAGTCGTCCCAGCAAAAAGGCACGAGCTCAATCACCCATCACCAAGACCAAACAACATGTGACTTTTTCCAGATCCCAGCCAACGAGATATAAAAAAAAAACAATGATAACGACTCTGTAGAAGATTTATCCCAATCTGAGGAATCCTCGTCGTCCAAAGAATCTTCACCATCTCAAGAATCATCACAATCGACCGATGGGTCCGACTCTCAGACCAGCAACGAGTCAGGCAATAGAGCTCTCTCCAGGAGAGCTCGGGCAACTGCCACCGGAAAAAACAAGCATATCCCAAAGGTCTCTCAGAGCCGGACCCACAACAAATCACAGCCGTTGAAATCTGCGCTCACCGTTAGAAAGGCAAGCTGCTTTTGTTCCTTCTTCCACTCAAAAGATCTGTGCTTACCGTGATTTGATTATTCACAACAGGTCAAAAAGCCGTCTGACAAGGAACGCATTCAAGATATTGTATCTAGTGTCGACAGTCGTTCTGAGGATAGGCCTCGGTACCACACGCAATCTGGGCAAATCACATCTCCAGCCTCATTTGATCAACATTCAAGCCGTTATGAGTGCCCCCCTGACGACTTGTGCTATGCCAAAGAGGGACATCAGGACCCAAATTCATACGCTCATCCACAGATCTCGCCCTTCTTACAGCTACCACTGGATCATGATAATCAATTAGAGCAAGATCTCCCGCCATCACCAGCTCATAATCCATATAACCCGTGTCCAAAACGCCGTCGGTACATTCGGCTCCAAGGAGGAAACCAAGTGTATGCTGCTCCGGGTCTTGATCAACACCGCGATAGAGATGGGTCTCAGCCTTCGGAATGGTGTTTCACCCCGCCTCGGTTCCCTTTTGCCCATCTCCTGCCGAAAGCCTACGCCCTACCTCTGGCTCCTACCAGCCCAATCCCGTAGCGCCAACCTACGGGTATCAGTCTACACATTCCTCCGGTAATGTAGCGCCGTCCTACGGGTACCAGTCCAATTTGCCCCCGGCCTTTGGCTCTCAGCCCTCGTCAACACATTTTGATTATACCCCTCAGAGATATGATTATGTGAGTGATACTATTCTATTGGGTGCTGGTTCGACTTCAAGAAAGCTAATATCACACCTCATTAGACCCCAGGAGCCGCAAGCGGCCACAAGCTAGGCGCGCCAAGTGGCCCCAAGCCTTTTGACTATTCACATTATTGGAATCCTAGTACCCAATCTTATCTTTCAAAGGGACTGACATCGCTCAATGAGTCGAAAAGCTCATTCAACTTCTCATTTCCTTCCCAACCCCCACCGCCACCAACTCAATCTTGCCAGTCAGCACCAACACCTCAACCTCAGACCAGTCAATCTGGGCAGTCAGCGCCGCCACCTCTGACCAGTCAATCTGCGCAGTCAGCGCCGCAACCTCAGACCAGTCAATCTGGCCAGTCAGCGCCGCCACCGCCGTTGAGTCAATGTCAACCCGGCCAGTCAGCGCCGCCACCGCCGTCGAGTCAATTCGGTCAATCGGCGCCAACACATCAGACCCGTCGATTCAGCCAGTCAGCGCCGCCACCGCAGCCTGGTCTATTTGGGCATTCGGCACCGCCACCGCAGCCCGGTCCATTTGGCCAGTCACAGCCCGGTCCATTCAGCCAGTCAACGCGGCCACAGCTCAATCAGCTTGGCCAGTCCTCGCAGCCTAGTCAGTTTTTTGGCCAGTCCTCGCAGACCAGTCAGTTCGGCCAGTCCTCATTTGTGACTGCAGCTGCCTTCAAGCCAACCACTGCTGATGCGACTGCAGCTGCCTTCAAGCCAACCACTACTGAGCCCACGACTAATAACCCATTTATGTCCGGTGTTTCGTCTGCCTTCTGGGGTCCCAAACCGGCACCACCTTCTAAATCGACTAATCCCTTGGGCGTAAAAACAGCCCTGAAGTACAATCACCAACCAGTGCCAAGCCAATCAGCCATAACATTTTCTACCTCCAAGCTGAAGTCAACTCATTTTCAGCAGCCGATGGTCACTCATTTCCAGCAATCCAATCCTTCTCCTGTGCCTCAGAACAGCTGCATGAGGGCTGAAAGTAAGTTTAGTCGAACAGTACAATTGCAAGCCTATGCATGCAACCTTCCTTCTCCACCTACCTCCCCCACAATGGTTGCTTCTCAAGATTCTAACATTGACAATCTATGCAACGCTATCTCCTGCCTTGAAATCAAACGCCCAATTGTTCCAATCCGTCAAAAATCTGAGTTGGCCAGAGTTCATTTCGCTGACAAAGACTCTTTATTGAAATCTGCGCCTCAAATATTAGCCGCTTTCCTGGGCACCCCTAAAGATTCACAGACAATCAATCCTCAGCTCCTTCCCAACAATGCAAGAACAATCACCACTCCTCCATCGATACTCAAATCGATTTGATTCAAGTTGAATAATGCTGGCTCATTTTTTGGCTCGAATATTCGACTGAAATCAATTAATTTTAGAGATTGACATCCGGGGCCATTTGATCCCCGGAGAAGGTTGCAAAGAGTGTTTATGGGGCCACAGGGACCCTATACACACCCCCTAACCGCCCTATACACAACCGGGGCCACTGATATCACATATCCAGATACCCAGCTCGGCTCCAACTCAGGTTATCAGACAACCGCAACTGACTACGGACCTCGGCCACCAACCATGGCACCTGCCAGCAATCCCCCACCCTCAGCCAAGTCAACTCCAGAACCGTCAAAGAGAACAAAATCCTCGGGATTTAACCAATTGAATATCTCCAAATACTCGAATATTTGTCAAATCAGTATTTGAGGGCCCCAAAAAACACGTTGAATACCACCGCGCTATGGTCTGGATTAGGCAGGATTATCTGCCTAATCCAGTCTTCCCAAGCATTTTTGGATTAGAGATTGAATTAAACCAGATCCAGAGCCAAATCTGGAGCCAGCGGGTATCAAATTTATACATTGCCATTTTTGAATTATCAAGCTCACTAATCCTCACTAATCCACTCAACCAATGTGGATGCTCTCAGAGAAAAGGAGTTTTTGTAATAATGGCACAAATCGCATGCACACCTAATGAGTAGAACGATTATGAGTCGGATTTGTTCCACTAACAAGGACAACACCTGAGATATCACACCACACACCTAATGAGTAGAAAGATTATGAGTCGGAGTTGTTCCGCTAACAACAACAACACCTGAGATATCACACCACACACCTAAGATAATAATAGAGAAATATAGAAGAGAGAAAAACAGCTTGCCAGAGATAAAGTCTTGACATAGATAGAGAAATAGCTTGGGAGACATAAGAGAAAGGTATTGAGAATAGTGAATACCTGCACGAGCAAAGCGAGTGAAGTTTTGAATAAATGTTTTTATGTTTGAAGGACACGCGAGAGCAATCTATGACAATTTAGGAAGAAAGAAAAAGGAAAAAGAATAAGAAGAAATTGATTGTTAGTCCTGATTACGATGTTGAAATGATGGCTTGAGACTTTACTTACTAGTTTCTCTTTCTTCACAGGCAATTTGGGTTAAGCGTGTGAGGAAAAGAAACTAGCAGTAGTGGTTGGAGTTGGCGGTTTTATGGAGGATTTGCGGGATAAACTAGGCTAGGTTTTGCGGGCTTGATGATGGTGAGAATTGTGATAAAAGATGCGTGACTGCGTATTCTGTATACGCAGTTGTGACATCGTGTATTCTAACAGTTTTTACTAGTATATAAAGTTAAAGGCTTAAGTTTTATAGAATGGCTATAATGATAAGAAAATTTCAATTAGTAATTCAACAATAGACTACTTGAAAACCCCACTCACTACACCACAGGTGAAAATTGGAGATTTTGCATCCAGCCATGGGATGATATTTTACCAAGGCCATCTCTGGTCCTAAAAAGGGATCAAAATAGCCTCTTTGTGAGGCTGTTGTGATGGTAGATCCCTGTTTCAAATGGATTTGGAACACATGGGAAATATTTTTGTTTTATTTCCCCAGTACACCCAAATGCACCTATATTCATAGTAAGGTAGTTGGGTTTAATATGGTAATAATTGCCTGGGGATGAATCTTATGGAAAGATTCACTCCCTTAGATATTACAGACCGGTGATCAAACTGCTATTGGGACCGGTGCAGTCCCCGCATTGTTACACTTTTTCTCTGGGGAAAGGTATCAGGATATTCAAAACATGGTGAATGTACATGTGTTGAATTTCTCTCTTATTTCAGAAGATGCAATATGTAGAACATCTCTCTCATTTCAAAAGATACACAAGGGAGATACACAGAATGATAAAGATACACAGGATAATATTCACTTGGATAAACACAAGAGATCATTAACTGTTTCAACATGATCATAATTTTTATGAGCGAGGTATATAAATTATCATGAGAGAGGTACATCAATAAAGAGGCAAATTATTATCAACTTATAGAATAAATTCAATATTATTATGTAACCTATAGGGGTTACATTCCCTTGTAGACACCTGGGCTACAATATATAGCGTCTCAGTCTCTGACAGATTTTCCCCTAGCCACTGCCAATGCTGAAAAAATACAGTAAATGTAGGGCCTTGGTTAATCAACTCCCAAATTTGGAATTTTTCAGGAGGACTGCCTTGGGACTGTCCAACTCCCAGGACGTCCCAGCCCCAAAAACCCAAAACCTGGGTGTTGTTTCTCCCATTTCTGCACTGGAAATGGATTTGTCTCCCAAATAAATTTAATGAATAAAAGAAAAATTACCCAGAAAAAACTTGTGGGGAATTCCCTCCATAAATTGACAGCCCTCCTGGCTGTCAAGACTTTTGTACACACTCAGCAGCCGGGAGAATCCTCCCAGCTGTTGAGGTTTGTCCTACCCCCCCCCCCCTCCAACTTGCATACCTTGATGGCCGGGAGTAATACTTGCTGCCTTCAAGAGTTGTACAATCTTGAAGGCCAAGAGCATCTTCTTGGCTGTTTGGATTTGTAAACTCCTGAAAGCCAAGAGGGATTACTCCCAGCTGTTGAGAGTGTACAACTCTCAGCAATGATAGTATTCCTCTTGGTTGATTAGAGTGTACGGCCCTCAGCAACCAAGAGAATCCTCTTTGTGATAGAGAGCTGTAAACTCTCAATGGCCGGGAGCAATTCCTCATGGCCTTTGAGAGTGTGCAACTTTTTCCTTTGAGAGTTTACAACTCTCAGCTACCAGGAGTAATTCATCTTGGCTGCTGAGAGTGTACCACCCTCTGCAACTGGTAGTTCCCTCTAAGTTGCTGAGAATTGTATACTCTCAGAGGAAAAGAGGAATTGCACCTGGTTGCTGAGAGTTGTACACTCTCAAAGGCCATGAGGGATTACTCCCAGCCATTGAGGTGTGCAAGTTGGAGGGGGACAAAGTTAGTGGCTGGGAGGATTTCCCTGGTCACCAAGTGTTTGCCCAAATCTTGAAATATGGCCAGGAGGGCATTAACACCGGACGTTCTTTCTGGGGAATGATTATTTGTTTGTTAAAATGGCTTGGGATCCAACTCCCATTCCCAGTGCAGGAATGGGAGAAACAACACCCAAGGACCAAGGTTCAAGTTTTTGGGGTGGAGACGTCCTGGGAGAAACGAGGGGTCCCCGTCGGGCTAGTCCCCCGACCCCTGACCGGGGAATTGGATAGCTTCATGCTGGCACATGACAAATAAGAAATTGGAAAATTCGTCTGGAAGAACTCCAATGGCCAAGCCATCCCGGAAACCTTCATCAAGCAAACTGGAACACCAGAGGCTTTGTTGGCATTATGGAGGTATGTACAAATCCATATTCCCAAACCCCTCCACTATGTAAACTTGATATATCAGAACTCAACGCTTCCCTATTCTCTTTTATAGATCTAGTTGCTTACGGCTTCAGACGTCTGCAACGTAAATATGATAGGAGAACAGCTGAGCTCCCTGACCCAACGTATATCGAAAACGCTCTGGCAGCTCTCTCTATTGATGGAGTTGAAACCCAGGAGGGTCTCACCGATCAGCTGCAATCTAGCCTTCTGCCTATCCTACAAAGCCAAATCGACTCTCTCTTGCAAGCACTAGATCTCCCCGGATTGCGAAATGATCCAGTTCCAAAGCTCGCTCTTGTCTTACAGATTCAAGCGAAACTCGATTACAGCTTGGATCGAATCAAATATCTGGTTGTCACCCTCTGTCCAGATCGGGAATCTATGTCGAATCGGACGGATGACCACGATCTCAAAGGATTGAAATCCTACAGACTTTGCCGTCTCAGAATGAAGTTCGAAGGAATCCTGTCATGGCGGATCTGTGAGATCTTTGAAACGGCCAATGACCTCATCCAACAGATGGAACTCTCATCCGGACCTTCTAACTCCAGCTGGTCAGAGATAGAGTCTCTCAAGAAATCATTGAATCGGACCGTTTGTTGTACGTCGGATACGATCAAGTCGATCGCAGATTGTTTCCAAGCATCTGAACTGGCCCTTGCCCAAGATTCATGGCGACATCAAAGACTTCAGATAGAACAGCTGCACCAGTCTATCCTCGAGGAACTCAATCCATCAACACATACGACAGGGATTTTCAAGCAGTACTCTGACCAATTTGTCGGTCAATCAGTCATTCGATTAGCTAGATTGACTCTCCCGATCTTCAAACTGTCCAGGATCTTCTTCGCCAAATTATCGAAACGAGGGTTGACTCAAGAACGGCTTCCGATTCATACGGAGATCAGTTCCGAACAAATCAGCATTCTCGCTGCATCTGTTGAACATGTGGCTGAAGATCTCCGTGAACTCAAGTTTCATCTCGACTCTGCTAACCAACGTGATGGAGATGCCAGAAGTGAAGATTTCGTCAGGATAGCTGGATCACTCAAAAATTGCTTCGTGTTCCCGTTGCTTCTGGTATCCATGTATTTTATTCCTTTGATTCCTGATACCGAGGGTCTTCAACTTCAAAAATATTATCAGAATTGGTGTGTTACTTGGAATAATCATATGGCTTTGGCCATTCACAACTTCACACTTGTTGCTAAAACATACACAGATGACATACCTTGATACACGGCGTTTTTTTTTTTTTCTTCCTTGTGATCTTAATTTTCTTTCCCTTCTGTATGACCTTTCTTGTTGATTTTCTTCAAGAAAAAAAAAAGAAGCAAAAAGAAAGACATTATCAAATGAGCAGTACTAGCTGGAACTCGCTAGAGCCAAATTGTCGCTATGGCCTTCCAGTCATCAGCTGGGTCCCTTAGCAGCAGCTGTGGTGAAGACTTGGCATGCATCTGTGCTCCTTTCCTGTTGTCACAAATCAGAAGCCCATCAGAGTCAAGTGATCTTCTAACCTATCAAGAGCACTAGCTTGACCCCACTAAAAACAAGAAATTCAATTCTTTTCTTGTCCCAGAGTAAACACAAACCAGATCCACTTGTAAAAAATTGCCCAAAACTGATTGGAAAACATGACTACTAAAATGAAAGAAAAGGTTTGTTTGGTTTTTGTGATTGATCAGTTTGCTTCGGATGATTTTCTTTCCAAAAGTCCAGAATCTTGATGTTTTTTCTTGTTTTTGGAAAATCCTGTTGGGATTTGATTCCTTCTTGAATGTCTTGCATATCTGTGAAGTCGATTCATGAAGATACTGACTGTGATTGTCAAATTTGAAAGATGAATTTGCACTCTCCGGATCATAATTACTTCATTTGCCTCAAAATTCTCCAGAACAGGATGATTGCAAAGCCAGCCTAGATTTCAGTCTGATTTCTACTGGTCAAACTGTATAAAGTGAGAGAAAAAAAAAACCTTCAAGAGCATTTGCAAGGGTTGAAGCACCCCAGAAATCGTCTAAGTGTTCTTTACTTTGAGGGAAACTTTCATTTAACCTTCTCGCCGGGAGGGCTTAAGCCGGATAGACGCCGTCAAGACACCCCGATCGCCGTTGCGGGAGTCCGGGACGGTCGCGCCAGCCGCCCGGCCACAATGCTACATACTTTTTTTTTATACAGGCACTTTGTACCACTGGAAGAAGTCTCATGGCCGAATCAGTCAGGAAACCCCCATCAAGCAGACTGGAACACCAAAGGCATTGCTGGCACTATGGAGGTATGAACAACACATCCATCAGAGGGTGACTACTGCCATCGACTATGTAAAAACTGAAATCTGCTCAACTCCCTTCAACAGATCTACTTACTTGCGGCTTTGGACGTCTGCGGAGTAAATATCATCCAACAACGGCTAAGCGCCCCGACCAGACTTATATCGACAACGCACTTGCAGCTGATTCCTCGATCGAAAGAGTCAAGACGCAGCTGGGTCTCGTGGATCAGCTGCAATCTAGCCTTCTGCCTCTCCTCCAAGGCCAAATCAACTCTCTCACTAGCACTAGACCTCCCCGGTTTACGAGATGATCCCGCCCCAAAGCTCGCTCTCATCTTACGGATCCAAGCGGAACTCGATTGTACCTTGGATCAAATCACATATCTGGTTGCCACCCTCTCTCCAGATCGGCAACCTATGTCAAATCGCACGGATGACAACCATCTCAAAGAGTTCAAATCCTACAGACTCTGCCGTCTCAGAACGAACTTCGAAGGAATCCTGTCCGAGCAGATCTGCGAGATCTTTGAAACCGCCGATAACATCATCAAACAGATGGAACTCTCATCCGCACCTTCTAACTCCAGCTGCTCAGACATAGCCTCTCTCAAGAAATCGTTGGATCTGGCCGTTTGTGGCACGTCGGATACGATCCAGTCGATCGCAGATTGTTTCCAAGCATCTGAACTGGCCATTGCCCAAGATTCATGGCGAGATACACGACTTGAGATAGAGGAACAACACCGGTCTATCCTCAAGAAACTCGATCGCTCAACACGTTTGAAGCGGAAGTCCGACCACTTTGTTGCCCAATCAGTCATTCAATTAGCTAGATTAAGCCTCCCAATCTTCAAACTGTCCAAGATCTTCTTCGCCAAATTCTCCGAACGAGGCTTGACTCGAGAACGCTTTCCGATTCATACAGCAATCAGTTCGGATCAAATCAACATCATCGCGGAATCTGTCGATAGTGTGGCCGAACGTCTCCATGAAATCGAGACCTTTTTAGACTGTGCTAATCGACGTAATGGACGTAGTGACCAAGTCATCACAGCAGCTGCAATACTTAAAGGAAAATTTGAGTCCCCTTTGTTTCTCGTACTTCTGCACTTTATTCCTTTGATTCCTGATACTGAGGGTCTTCATCGTCAAAAACATTATCAGGATTGGTGTGTAACTTGGAATATTCACATGGCTTTAGCCATTCATAATTTCATACTTGCTGCCAAGTCATATACAAATGCCAGGCCTTGACATTTTTCCCCCTTCTTCTTGCTGTTGGCTTCCTCTCCCTTGTGAATGTAATTTAGTGTGTTGTTCTCCATAAATGTTTCCCAGTTTTGTTTGCAAGCACTCATCACTGAGATTGGTGTTGTTTCTATTTCATAAGATGAAGGGCATGTTTGATTCTCTTTCAAGAAAAAGATGTTATTGAATTGGCAGTAGCTGGAACTGCAAGGAGTCTGAATCGGCCCCCTTGGCTTCCAGTTAATGACTGGTTCTGTTGAAATTTTAAGACTCGTGCGCGTAAGAGGTGGAGGGCCAAAAATGAGGATCTTATTTTTGGGAAAGGTTCACAGAAAAAGAGTGTAAGAACCAATGAGTTTTCATTCTCAAGTAAGAAGCCAGGTTTAAATAGACTAGATACAAGTGTCAGAAATGTGGTTGAGTTTAATTTGAATAAAAAAAGAATATTGAATAAAAGACTGAGAGGAAGAAACATGAGTCTTGGAAGAAACAACCCGTACAAAACTTCTCAGTCTCTTTTATAAGTCAAGCCGGAAGTTAATCAAGAAAAATTACATGCTATATAACGCGGAAAAACCGCGTTTTTTATTAAGGCCAAAAAAAAAAAAACATGAAAAATAAGGTCAAAAAATTGAACACAAAAAACACGTCCAAACGCAGAAACTGTGTCTGCTGCGTGCAGCACAAACCACGTCAAAACACAGAAAAACTTTTTTTTTTATTCAAGCCCTTATTTTTTGACATTTTTATATTTCCTGGCCTTATTAAAAAATTTGAAAAATTCCAGTTTTTCTTTTTAATTGTCACTTTTTTCTTCTGTAATGAAACAAAACTGTCCCCACAGTTAGTTTCCCAGCCCCTCAATGTCCCACATTCCAAAAAAAAAAAAAAAAAAAAAAACTTTGAAAAACCCCCAAAATTCAGTGTTGGGGGGTTCCATTTTTTCTGTCAACCCACTGTACACCCATTGCCAATTTGTACATCTGTACTGGAAGAACTCCAATGGCCCAACCAGCCCAGAAACCTTCTTCAAGCAAACTGGAACATCAAAGGCTTTGTTGGCACTATGGAGGTTTGTACAAATCCATCATGTTCTTGAAGAGCTCCACCACGTCAACTTGATAGAACTGAAATCTTTTCCATTCTCCTTTGCAGATCTAGTTTCTTACGGCTTCAGACGTCTGCGAAGTAAATAGCGGGGTTCACGATAGCTTCTCGCAAGAAGCGATTTCTTCTCGCGCGAGAAACCGCAGCACTGCTGCAGGCTTAAAATTTAGCGCAGAACTTAAAATTTTCGCTGGGAAAATTGACATCAGCAATGCGCGAGCAAGAAAAAAAAATTACGGGTGCGAGAAGCGAAAAACGCTATCGTGAACCCCGCTAATATCATTCAAGGACGGCAGAGCTCCCTGACCTAACCTACATCGAAAACGCACTGGCGGCACTCTCTCTTGACACCGTCCAAACACAGGAAGCTCTTGCGAATCAGCTGCAATCTAGCCTCCTGCCTCTCCTGCAAGGCCAAATGAACACTCTCTTCCAAGCACTAGACCCCGCTGGTTTACGAAATCAACCAAGGCCAAAGCTTAGTCTCGTCTTGCAGACCCAAGCAGAACTCGATGACAGCTTGGATCAAATCACATATCTCACTGCCACCTTATGTCCAGACCTTGCAACTCAACCACATCGAACGGATGACCATGGTCTTAAACGATTCAAATCCTGCAGACTCTACCGGCTGAAAGCCAACGTCGAATTAGTGTTACCCTGGCGAATGTGTGAAATATTTGAGGCGGCCGATAAGCTCATCCAAAAGATGGAGCTTTCATCAGCACCATCCATCCCCGGTTCGCCAGAGATAGAGTCTCTTGATAAATCTTTACATGTGGCCGTTTTGGGTGCCTTGGATACGATCAAGACAATGGCCAACTGTTTACAAGCATCTGAACTGGTGATCGCTCAAGATTTATGGAAAAGTAGTAGACTTGCCATAGAAAATCAACTACAGTCTATCATTGAGAACCTCAATCTGTCAATGATCAATCGACTGAATCTCGAACAAGCTTTGAAGGAAAAATTCCTCGGTCAATCAGTCATTCAACTAGCCAAGTTAACATTACCAATCTTCAAACTATCCAAGATCTTCTTCAGCAAGGTATCTAAGCGAGGTTTAGCTCAAGAACGACTGCCGATTCACACGGAGATCAGTTCGCAACAAGTCGACATTCTAGCCGTATCTGCTGATCTTGTGGCCGAAGATCTTCAGCAACTTAAGATCCTTTTAGAGTCAGCTAATCAACGTACCGGAGAGGCTACAAGTGCCAAATTCATCAAAATAGCCAAATCGCTTCAAACTGGCTTTGAGACCCCTTTGTTTCTGATACTTATGTACTTTATCCCTTTGATTCCTGATACCGATGGTCTTCATCGTCAAAAATATTATCAGAATTGGTGTGTAACTTGGAATAATCAGATGGCTTTAGCCATTCATAATTTCACACTTGCTGCCGCGTCATTTACAAATGACTTACCTTGATTTTTTTTTCGTCTTCTTGATGTCGGTTTCCTTTCCCTTCTGAATGGTCTTTGTTTGTTTTTTTCCTTGTTTTTTTCAAGTTTTGTTCACAAGCACTCGGACACAAAATCAGTGTTGTTTCAATTTGAAAGGTGTGTTTGATTCTCTTGAAGAAACAAGAATACAAGACAACGGATATTAACAAATGGGCAGACGTAGCTGGAACTGCATGGAGTCTGAATTAGGCCCCTTGACTTTCACTTGCACTTGGCAACATCTGTGTTCCTTTCCTGTTGCCACAAATGGAAAACTAATTGATTAAATGATGTGGTCTATCAAGAGCACTATTTGACTCTAGCAAAAAGAAGACAATCAATTTCTGACCCAAGATAAACAATGACATATCCAAATCTAGAAAAGAGAACTCAAAATTAATTAGAAAAAAAAACAAGACAAAAATTAATGAATCCAAATTGCACCAGAAACCCAAAACAAAAAAATGATTGTAAATCAATCCCATTATTCCACTTCTTGTGGTTCACAGATGAAAGAGTTATCAACTCCTCTAGCATCAATTAAATTTCAAGATGTTAGTATTTTCATCCATGGTAAATCATGTAATGACTGGACAAGCTTCATCTATTTTGGAGAAAATTGTTTTTCAAAGTATTCACTCATGTAGAGAATCTTGGACTTGATATTCTTCACTCTATCTTGAGTTATTTCCAATTGACAGTACTTTTGACGTGGATCAAGTTGAGAAATATGCTGAAATTTCTGCCGGTTTTCTGATTCAATTATTAATATATGCTTTGCTAAGAGCTCCAGACCTTCAACTTTTTGAATTGATATATGGAGTTTCTCTAATGAAGAAAGCGGATTGTTCCTGTGGAATGGTTGAAAGTGTCTATCCAAATAGATTTGGATAACTTCTAACTGTGAAAGAAACTGACTACTTGATGACATCAAACTAAACTTTTCTTCAAAATCTATGTTTGGCTTTTTTAATTCATCAGTTTCCTCTGGATAATATTCTATCAACAGGTCTATAATCTGGAACAATTTTTGAACCTCTTGTTGAGATTTTCCTTCTTGGATGTCTTGAATATCTGTGAAGCGGCGAACCAATTCTTGGAAATATTGACTTCCAAATTTCAAAGATGTATTTCCAGTCTCTGGATCATGAGGTAAACTCAACATACTTGCCTTCTCAACATGGAATTTGAGTCTGTAAAACTGTGCTATTTTCCCTTCAAATTCTTGACTTCTTCCATCTCCAGAATGATGTGAAAGGCTCTTCAATCTTTTTCCAAGATCTATGAAACGATGTAGAATTAAGCAAAATTTCAGTCATCTTTTATAAGCTCATTAACCTTTAAGTGGTTGAAAAATTACCTTCAAGAGTATTTTTGGTGGTTGAGGAATCCCAGAGGTTGAGCAAATGATTTCGACTTTGAGGGAGGGAAGCTTTCAAAAATTCTTCAACCTGCTCATCAGTATTTCTAAACTGTTTCAAAACATCAACTATGATGTCATATTTGAAGAAAAGTTGACGGATATTCTCTGGAGATGTAAACTGATGCTTGTAGAAGTAATATATTGTTTCAAAGAAAATTGCTTCAAGTTTGAGGAACTCAAACCCAAAGACATTATTGTTTAAATCAGGCCTCATGTGAACCATAGTTTCCATAATATCTTCCAAATATTTTGAGTAGACCTTTTCTGAGAACTCCATTTTTTCAGAATCACTATTTGGCATTATTTGAAAACAATTGATCCAAAAATATCAGTTTCTCTTCCATTAAAACTCTGATTAAATTGAAAATTTCTAGCCCACAATCCAATTGTATCCAAAGCATTCAGGGCTTCCTCAATCCTTCTGTGCAATTGATCCAATGCTTTTACATTTCTATCCAACCTTTTTTTGTGTGAAGAAAATTTCAAAACAGAAGATGTATGATCCTTTTTGAATTGATCAAGAAGATCTTTCAGATCTTGAAAGTCTTCTTTCATTGATCCTAGGAAAATAATTAAATACTATCAATTTAAAAAGTCATGACCAAAGATTTCAAACTCAAGCTGGAATTTCACTGTACCAATTTTCCATTTATCATATTTTACAAGCCCAGACACTGTGAAGATTCAAATCGATTTTTTGTGTGGATTAGCGTTTATGAGTTTGTATGACTACACACTACCAAATGGGTTGTATTTGTTACAGATCCCATTGGTAAGGTTGGATAGAGTCAACCAATATAAGATCTGTCTCCCAGATACATTTTATATTGGCTGGGCCCACCAATACATCACCCCTTTGTTGAATTATACTGGTGGGTGCATCCTATGTAAAATCAGTCTGGGAGACCAATTTTATATTGGTTAAATCCATTCAAGCTTACTGTGGGGGTTTATAACTGATACAAACCCTTGCCCAGTGCCACAGACAAAACTCACAATTTCTTTTAATTTTTTCACTTGGATTTTGAAGCTGATGGATAGTGGCGATTTGATTCTTCACAGGTACCTTTTCATCTTGAGTTAGAAAATAAGTTTTACTTCCAAGTATCTCAGAAACCTTCGCCTTTTTATCTGTTTATTGTGGGGGGTTTTTTTTTGGATGATCTTTCATTATTTTTGGGATGCCATATTTTAGAAGTTATTAGGAGCAAAAAAAATGGTAAGGGAATTAAATTTACCTTTTCCAGCTGCAACCTGATCCATTCCTCCTGATATTCTAGACCCAACTTGACTTAATTCTGAACATGACGCTTTGAAAACTTGCAAGTAGGAACAAGCAACCAATAATGCTGATATTTGGAGGTTCATTGAATGAAATCTGATTTAAATGGAAGTCTATTTGGATATATTAATTCAGTACTATCCTGATGATAAATTGAGGTGATATGCAGAACTTTCCCAGTGGATATATGAAGTTTATTCTATGGGTATGATATGATTCCAATTGCCTTTGGCTTTCCTGGAAAAAGACTGGATATCAATTAGTCCCTCACTTATGTAGATGAAGTAGCTGTCATTGTTCACAAGGCACATGAATTTTTGAAAATACATCTCTTTCCTTTTTCATGAAACATGATACAGATGTTAAATATTTCCTTGAGATTACATGTTTCAGTGACTGATGCCACTCTCAGACACAAACCCATTGCAATTGTCTGATTGAGTCATACTCATCAATACTTTTCACCAATAAAGATCAGTATGTGCTCTTCTTGTATTTACCAAAAACAAACCAGAAGAAACCTACATTTTTCCATTGTTGTTTGGTGGTTGAGAATGTGTATATTGTTTCATCTAAAAATATTTCTAGCAGAAAGTGAAACTTGGATTCCAACAGCTGATGAGACTGTTTCAGCCTGATAATATACACCTAAATCTGATTTGTCCTCTTCATACTTGTCTCATCAAAAATGTGAAAACAAAAAAAGCCGTTCCCAGTTCTGTAGGACCTGAAATGAAATAATTTGTTTCAACAAAAAAGGTGTTTTCACGCTGTTTTGAAGTCTGTACAATTGGGCTTACCAAAGGTTTCTATTATTACATTTTTTTGGTTCTTAATGGGCAAGGAGCCCTTTGGAGGCTCCAGGATCCTTCTCACAGGGGAATGGGAAATAGAAATAACCTATCACTTCAAGTTAAAGAAGAAAACCCAGGCTGTTACACTTTGAGCTTTTTGGATCTCATCTTCATCCAGGAGGGAATCCTCTGGGGGAAGTAGCTTGGACCTGTCTTCCGGACGGGGAGAAGAACCGCAACAGTTAGCTTGGACAAAAAGGAAAGTACGGCCTTCATGTTTAAGTATCGGCTGAGAGTTGATGTTGTGCCTACAATGTTGCTTGTGTTAGTCTAAAGTCGAGCAATCAGAAGGGAGTTCTTGGAGTAACACAAATGTAAAGCCGGTTGTGCCGATGTTGTGCCGGGTGCCGGACGGGAGGGGGGTCACCCATGTGTAGGCCCCTCTTGAAAGTGCCACAGTGGATTTGTGAACTCGCACATCTCGCCCAACAAGACAACTCACCCGAAGCTCACCAATTACACAACAACAGTACGACGACGTGTCGAGACATCAAGCATCAGAAACAAACGAACAATTGAAGGGTAACGTCAACTTGAATCGCCGATGGACCTCGCTGACGAGCTGCTAAACGATCTCGATGGGGACTCGGGCTCGGAAGGGATGGCAGGGGAGGTAGATGAAGACGGGTTTTTGCGGCCGAACTTGCCGGTCTCATCGAGCACTAAACGCAAGCAGAGCGGGATGGAGGGGGACGAAGACAGCGATGATGACGGTGATGATGAGGAGGGCCGAGAGATGGACGAGAAAGTCGGCTTGCTCAGTTTGCCCACTAATGGCACAGAACCCGCCCAGGAGATGGACATCGATGACGTCAAAAAGATGGTACTGACCGATGTCGACGATGTTGGATCGGTCGCTAAGCTGTGGAACAGTCGAACGCTTAAAGACGTGATGGCAGTAAGTGACTCGCCATGTTTTAAGCTCGGCAGTCTCACTTCTCGCTTGCTTGGCCAGATGTAGCACATCGTGTTAACGCTCATGATTTTTTTTTGTTGTACCATTCCTATTTCAAAAAAGAAAATTGAACATTACGCCGAAAATCCTTCTGGCGAGACGGCCATGAGTAATGATGCAGCCGAATACCGACTGATTGTTCAAGCAAACAACTTAGCGGTGGAAATTGATAACGAAGTGATGGTAGTCCACAAGGTGAGTCAAAAGTTTTCCAACAAATCCTGCTTTTTCTTTTTTGCATTTTGTAGTAGTTATTCATGAGCGACTGAAACTTGGTTGCTAGAAAACTCTAGTTCATTAGGGATCATTATGCACCCCGCTTTCCCAACCTCGAACGCTTGCTTCCCAACCCTTACGAATATCTAAGAGCTGTGAGGTTGTTTGGAAACTCGCCGGACCTCAGTTCAGTTAGAGGCTTTGAAAGTGAGCACACCATTCATTGTAGTTTAGGTTCAATCACAAATGATTCGATTGCGACTGGCCAGTAACCTCTTATTTTTCTTGTTTCTTCTAGACGTCTTGAGTTCTGCGACAGCCATGATTGTCACAGTCGAAGCAGCAACAGTCTCTGACGATCGAGTCTTGACAGACCTTGAATGGAACCGCGTCGATAAGGCAGTTTTGGCTGCTGAAGAACTAGAAGACGCTAGACGGAAGATTCTAGAGTACGTGGAGTCGCGTATGTCACTCATGGCCCCGAACCTCTCTGCGATCGTCGGGACTCGGACCGCTGCGAAATTAATGGGTGTTGCGGGCGGTTTAAGTGGACTGAGCAAGATGCCTTCGTGCAACGTTCATGTAAGTCTGTTCTCCGCTTTTTTTTTGCGTTCCCTTCACCGGTTGTTGATTTCATCCGAATTTTCCACTTTCAGTTACTAGGAGCCCAGAAGAAAAACCTGGCCACTGGTTTCTCCACGGCTCACTCGACTCACTCTCAACAGAGGCTCCATACCGGATTTATATATCAGTGTGACCTAGTCCGGAATACGGAAGAACCATTCAGGATGAAGGCCCAAAGGACGATTGGTGCGAAATGTGTATTGGCAACCAGGATGGATCACAGTCGACAATATCTAGATGGGTCATACGGGATGAAGTTAAAAGAAGAGATCAAAACCAAACTCGAGAAACTAGCAGAGCCGCCGCCACAGAAGCTGACAAAGGCACTTCCAGTCCCTTCGGAAGGTCCAAAGAAACGACGAGGCGGGAAGCGGGCTCGAAAAGCCAAGGAAGCACATGCGCAGACGGAGCTGAAGAAGTTGACGAATCGACTGCGGTTCGGCGAGGCAGAAGAAGAGATCGGTTCGTTCGACGAGACCAAAGGGCTGGGGATGCTTGGCGGGAATGCGACAGGCAAAGTGCGACTGAATGGCGGCGAGAGTCGGTCGCGGGCGAAGCTCTCGAAGGCCAACAAAAACCGACTTTCTGCCTTACGCTCGAGTGCGGCTTCTTCAGGCCAGTCGGCATTGACCTCGGGCACCTCCTCCTCCTTGGTCTTCACCCCCGTCCAAGGACTCGAACTCGTCGATCCCGCCGCTCAGAGGGCAAGACAACAGGCTACACTTGAGGCCGCTAAGCCCGGCTGGTTTGCCGAGGGAAGGTTTTCCGTCGTTCCAGGCAGCAAAGGCAAGGGAGCCGCCTCTACACTACTCAAATGATCCGTTTGGTGTGCCTTCTATTGGATGATTCGTGGCGTGATTATGTTTGGATTTCATTCAAATTCATCCTTTGTCCTTGAACCACTACTCCATTTTCAAGCCATCGTGCCAACCTTTCCTCATCCCATGAAATGTAATTTCCGTCACATATCCTGTTTCACTTGTGGTGATGGGAACACCACCCACATCAGTGCATTGATCATAGCTCCGCAGTTCTCAGACTTCAGACAAAAGTCAGGGTTGCTTCAATTTCTAAACCAAATAGCCCAGTGACACAAGGCCTGAGCTCAGCAGTCATGAAGATCATCCCTGATGGATCAAGATGTCCTGGCAATGTGAGTTATGCAAGGTTTCAGTACAATGCTTCATGAGTTTGTGCAACAATCTGTTGGAGCACAAATGCTCTTTTTGTGGTTAAAGCCTCAAGATAAGTTTTTTGAGAAATGGACCCAAAAAACTGCACAGCAAGCCACAGACTGGAATGTTTGGAAGTGTGAAATGTCTGGTGACAGCTGCCTGGTGTCGGTTCTCAGGATGACGTCATCCAAGATAGCTTCCTCCCAGAGAGCACCCAAGTTGACCAAGACGGACACAGAACAAGACTCAAGAAAGAAAACGACGGACAACATCATGACCACTAGCACCCTGTTCGGACCGGTGGAACCATTCGCGAGCGAGCATCTCCAAGTCTCAGATCTGTGAGTATGTCCATGAATAGCTTTCATTCTGAGCACGAGACTGATGTGGGTGCTTTCGATCACAGTCATTCTCTCTATCTCGAGCAGTCTGGTAATCCCGAAGGGAACCCAATCGTTTTCATACACGGAGGTCAGTCAAATGTGATATCTAATGATGTCCTCCGAAACGGCATCCTTACCCAAAGATCTAAATATGATAGGACCGGGGGGCGGATGTTCACCTGAGGATAGGTAGGTGGCAACACTTGAGAGTATTTCTGATGGTCAATATCCAGAATTGAACGATCTCCATTCGCTCCTGAATCCTCTGGCCTCTAGACGATTATTTGATCCGGCAAGCTATCGAATTATCGTGTTTGATCAACGAGGGTGGGTCCTTTCCAAGACATAGAGCTATAGATCGGATGAACCCTTCTAAGAAAGCTCAAGAACGATCGGGTCTCTTCTAGAGCAGGCAAATCGACTCCGCCGTCCTGCTTGGAGGAAAACACCACCTGGCATTTGGTCGAAGATATCGAGAAGATTCGCACGCATCTCAAGATTGAGAAATGGGTGGTTTTCGGGTACGCTGAGAGTGTGGTGGCTTCGCAAACAAAATCTAGGAACCCCTGATATATCCTTGCTTACCGCTTTTTTCTTGGTTATTTTTTCCATTTGCGTATAAGTGGTTCATGGGGCTCAACACTCTCATTAGCGTATGCACAAGCACATCCAGAAAGAGTTAAAGGGTTAATCCTACGGGGGATCTTTGCCCTCCGTCGAGCCGAGTTAGAGTTCTTTTACCAAGGCCCTGGGACGAGTTTTCTCTTTCCAGAATGTGCGTCTTTTATCAGATCTTGGTCTGTTCTTTAACCAATTCAATACCTGCATTGCTGACTGAGAATGTTCCGGGTGTTTTTGCTGGTTACCAGATTGGGAAGAATATGTTTCGATCATCCCCCAGGAAGAGAGAAAAGACATGATCAAAGCCTACTATAAGCGTCTGACCTCGGATGATAAGTCTGTGAGATCTGAAGCTGCAAAGCGTTGGTCAGTCTGGGAATGCTCGACGAGTCGGTTGATGGTTGATCAAGAGTACATCAAGAAAGCATACGAGGATGATTTTTCGGACAAGTTTGCTCGGATCGAGTTGAGTTCCTCTTCTTTTTTTTTGGTCGTGATTCTTCTACCTCTTTGAATGATAAAGCACGTTCTTAACACTATTTTTTCCTTTTTTCTCCTTATGATTTTCTGGATCTTTTTTAGATGTCATTATTTTGTGAATGGTGGGTGGATGAGAGAGGGTCAGCTGTTGGAAAAGGCCGAAATCGACAAGATCCGACACATCCCAGCTGTCATTATCCAAGGTCGATATGACTGTCAGTCCAAGCTTCATGGCCCTTCTTTGTCCATAAGGTCCCAGACTACTGGATGTCTAGCAACATGACTCTGATTGTGCTGATCTCAAATTCAATTGGATCTTGGTAGGTGTGTGTCCGGCCAAAACAGCCTGGGAGTTGCATCAAGCTTGGCCAGAAGCAGAGTGTGTTTTATCATTTTTTTCCGTCCCCTCCCCTCCCCTATCCTCTTCATCCCATCAATGTGTCCTGAACAGATCTAAGGGAATCATCCTGTACTGATTAAATGATTGTCTTCTTTTTTTTTAGTTTTAAGCTCATACCAAATTGTGGCCATTCTGCAAAAGAAGATGGAATAGCCCATGAGCTGGTCCAAGCTTCCAACAAGTTCAAATCATTATAAATTTCCCTTTTTTTTCACATTCATATATTTTCCTTTTATGAGTTTCCGTTGAACAACTGAAGTGCTCATGCTCCATTTATACTTGCTCATCATCACTTGTACTGACTTTGTGGCCATGGAAAACTACGTGATGTGCAGCCATACAACAGTTGGATTTTGGTCACCAATGCAATTTGTGAGCTGGTCAGACTCAAGCTGTGCAAAGTTACACTACAAACAATACCTATTTTGCCCCAAGAATAAACAGCAATTTGCAGGGTGTGGGAGAATGGGGTCAAATTCCTAGCATTTTTTTTTTACAAAATGCCTCTGGAGTAGAAGTTGGAGATGGTCACGGTGAATCGGGATATCCATGCGGATGCGGATATCCGCTCACGATTTCAGCGGAATTTGATATCCGCATCCGCAACCGCAACTGCTGGCGGATATCCCCTGGTTTTGGCGGGTATCTGCGCGGATACCCGCAGATACCCGCCCTTTAACTTGGCGGCGAGGCAGCCGGCTGGAAGGGTTTCCTTCCAGCCGGCAAGGTACACGTACCTCGCTGACCGGAAGGATTTCCTTCCAGTCGGCAAGGTACATGTACCTCGTCGGCCGGAAGGATTTCCTTCCAGTCGACAAGGTACGTGTACCTCGCCGGCAGGAAGAATTTCCTTCCAGTCGGCGAGGTACATGTACT